AGGCATGAGCCAAATTGTTCACTGATCTACGTACATAATTAAAGGACACAACTTCAAAGTGTCGTTTTAAGATAAAGCACTCTCGCATAATACAACTGTTAGTCTTTTAAGACCCCATCTTCACGATTGATTAGCGTAAATGTGCTCCTCATCTTCCCATGAAGATAACAACCTTCAAGTTCATACATGGTCTAAAACAAAAAACCATCATTTCAAATGGAATGGTCCCGTAGCTCAGTTGGTTAGAGCGTTGGTCTTATGAGCCGAAGGTCGTAAGTTTGAGCCCCGTCGGGACCATATTCACCTATACTAGAAAATGAACTTAGGGCTTGTGTGGAGAACAATTACTAGGGGAATACTAAAAATAGGCATTCCATCTCACTTTTTCTTCTCATCTTCCATGGAAAACAAAATCTTTGGTCCACCCAAGGATTTTGTAATTGGAAAATGAATTCCATGAACCAAACACAAGAAAACAACATTTTTATCCACTTTAAGGAAAATGTTTTCCATGAACCAAACATCCCCTTATAGTGTGATGGTTACGATCTTTTTTATTAAAGAAGATGCTCAATACAATAGGAAATTTGCAAATACAAATTGCATATATATTTTAAAGCATATATTCCACATCAATAAGATCTCATAGTGCAAATATACAATTAGTGGCAATTTTTTTGAAAACCAAAACGATGACTTTTATTAAAGAAGATGCTCAATACAATGGGGAATTGAAGATAACCAACATCCGGGACCAGTTTGAGAACGCATAGCTCGAGCCAAGGCATGAGCCAAATTGTTCACTGATCTAGGTACATAATTAAAGGACACTACTTCAAAGTGTCGTTTTAAGATAAGGCATTCTCGCATAATACAACTGTTAGTCATTTAAGACCCAATCTTCACGATTGATTAGAGTAAATGTGCTCCCCATCTTTCCATGAAGATAACAACCTTCAAGTTCTTACATGGTCTAAAACAAAAAACCATCATTTCAAATGGAATGGTCCCGTAGCTTAGTTGGTTAGAGCGTTGGTCTTATGAGCCGAAGGTCGCGAGTTTAAGCCCCGCCGGAACCATATTCATCTATGCTAAAAAATGAACTTAGTGCTCGTTTGGTATCTATTGAGTATCGTATACTAATTTTATTGTTTGGTTAGATTTGGAATTGTAAGGAATAACGAGTATAAAAACCTATATGCCCCTACAAATTAATAAAAGTAAACAAGGGTAAAACATTCATTTTCCATGGAAAATGAATTCCATGAACCAAACACAAGAAAACAACATTTTCATCCACTTTAAGGAAAATGTTTTCCATGAACCAAACATCCCCTTATAGTGTGATGGTTACGATTTTTTTTTTTACTAAAGAAGATGCTCAATACAATAGGGAATTTACAAATACAAATTGCATATATATTTTAAAGCATATATTCCACATCGATAAGATCTCATAGTGCAAATATACAATTAGTGGCAATTTTTTTGAAAACCAAAACGATGACTTTTATTAAAGAAGATGCTCAATACAATAGGGAATTGGAGATAATCAACATCCGGGAGCAGTTTGAGAACGCATAGCTCGAGAAAAGGCATGAGCCAAATTGTTCACTGATCCAGGTACATAATCAAAGGACACTACTTCAAAGTGTCGTTTTAAGATAAGGCACTCTCGCATAATACAACTGTTAGTCTTTTAAGACCCAATCTTCACGATTGATTAGAGTAAATGTGCTCCCTATTTTTCCATGAAGATAACAACCTTCAAGTTCTTACATGGTCTAAAACAAAAAACCATCATTTCAAAAGGAATGGTCCCGTAGCTCAGTTTGTTAGAGCGTTGGTCTTATGAGTCGAAGGTCGCGGGTTTGAGCCCTGCCGGGACCATAAGATAAATTTCATTGTTTGGTTGGTGGAAAAAGAATTACTGGGAAACAAATTCTATTGTTTGGTTAGATTTGGAATTGTAAGGAATAACGAGTATAAAGACCTATATGCCCCTACAAATTAATAAAAGTAAACAAGGGTAAAGAATTCATTTTCCAGAAAATGAATTCCATGACCCAAACACAAGAAAACAACATTTTCATCCACTTTAATGAAAATGTTTTCCATGAACCAAACATCCCCTTATAGTGTGATGGTTATGATTTTCTTTTTATTAAAGAAGATGCTCAATACAAAAGGGAATTTACAAATACAAATTGCATATATATTTTAAAGCATATATTCCACATCAATACGATCTCATAGTGCAAATATACAATTAGTGGCAATTTTTTTGAAAACCAAAACGATGACTTTTATTAAAGAAGATGCTCAATACAATAGGGAATCGAACACAACCAACATCCGGGACCAGTTTGAGAACGCATAGCTCGAGCCAAGGCATGAGCCAAATTGTTCACTGATCTACGTACATAATTAAAGGACACAACTTCAAAGTGTCGTTTTAAGATAAAGCACTCTCGCATAATACAACTGTTAGTCTTTTAAGACCCCATCTTCACGATTGATTAGCGTAAATGTGCTCCTCATCTTCCCATGAAGATAACAACCTTCAACTTCATACATGGTCTAAAACAAAAAACCATCATTTCAAATGGAATGGTCCCGTAGCTCAGTTGGTTAGAGCGTTGGTCTTATGAGCCGAAGGTCGTAAGTTCGAGCCCCGTCGGGACCATATTCACCTATACTAGAAAATGAACTTAGGGCTTGTGTGGAGAACAATTACTAGGGGAATACTAAAAATATGCATTCCATCTCACTTTTTTTTCTCATCTTCCATGGAAAACAAAATCTTTGGTCCACCCAAGGATTTTGTAATTGGAAAATGAATTCCATGAACCAAACACAAGAAAACAACATTTTTATCCACTTTAAGGAAAATGTTTTCCATGAACCAAACATCCCCTTATAGTGTGATGGTTACGATCTTTTTTATTAAAGAAGATGCTCAATACAATAGGAAATTTGCAAATACAAATTGCATATATATTTTAAAGCATATATTCCACATCAATAAGATCTCATAGTGCAAATATACAATTAGTGGCAATTTTTTTGAAAACCAAAATGATGACTTTTATTAAAGAAGATGCTCAATACAATGGGGAATTGAAGATAACCAACATCCGGGACCAGTTTGAGAACGCATAGCTCGAGCCAAGGCATGAGCCAAATTGTTCACTGATCTAGGTACATAATTAAAGGACACTACTTCAAAGTGTCGTTTTAAGATAAGGCATTCTCGCATAATACAACTGTTAGTCATTTAAGACCCAATCTTCACGATTGATTAGAGTAAATGTGCTCCCCATCTTTCCATGAAGATAACAACCTTCAAGTTCTTACATGGTCTAAAACAAAAAACCATCATTTCAAATGGAATGGTCCCGTAGCTTAGTTGGTTAGAGCGTTGGTCTTATGAGCCGAAGGTCGCGAGTTTAAGCCCCGCCGGAACCATATTCATCTATGCTAAAAAATGAACTTAGTGCTCGTTTGGTATCTATTGAGTATCGTATACTAATTTTATTGTTTGGTTAGATTTGGAATTGTAAGGAATAACGAGTATAAAAACCTATATGCCCCTACAAATTAATAAAAGTAAACAAGGGTAAAACATTCATTTTCCATGGAAAATGAATTCCATGAACCAAACACAAGAAAACAACATTTTCATCCACTTTAAGGAAAATGTTTTCCATGAACCAAACATCCCCTTATAGTGTGATGGTTAGAATTTTTTTTTTACTAAAGAAGATGCTCAATACAATAGGGAATTTACAAATACAAATTGCATATATATTTTAAAGCATATATTCCACATCGATAAGATCTCTTAGTGCAAATATACAATTAGTGGCAATTTTTTTGAAAACCAAAACGATGACTTTTATTAAAGAAGATGCTCAATACAATAGGGAATTGGAGATAATCAACATCCGGGAGCAGTTTGAAAACGCATAGCTCGAGAAAAGGCATGAGCCAAATTGTTCACTGATCCAGGTACATAATCAAAGGACACTACTTCAAAGTGTCGTTTTAAGATAAGGCACTCTCGCATAATACAACTGTTAGTCTTTTAAGACCCAATCTTCACGATTGATTAGAGTAAATGTGCTCCCTATTTTTCCATGAAGATAACAACCTTCAAGTTCTTACATGGTCTAAAACAAAAAACCATCATTTCAAAAGGAATGGTCCCGTAGCTCAGTTTGTTAGAGCGTTGGTCTTATGAGTCGAAGGTCGCGGGTTTGAGCCCTGCCGGGACCATAAGATAAATTTCATTGTTTGGTTGGTGGAAAAAGAATTACTGGGAAACAAATTCTATTGTTTGGTTAGATTTGGAATTGTAAGGAATAACGAGTATAAAGACCTATATGCCCCTACAAATTAATAAAAGTAAACAAGGGTAAAGAATTCATTTTCCAGAAAATGAATTCCATGAACCAAACACAAGAAAACAACATTTTCATCCACTTTAATGAAAATGTTTTCCATGAACCAAACATCCCCTTATAGTGTGATGGTTACGATTTTCTTTTTATTAAAGAAGATGCTCAATACAAAAGGGAATTTACAAATACAAATTGCATATATATTTTAAAGCATATATTCCACATCAATACGATCTCATAGTGCAAATATACAATTAGTGGCAATTTTTTTGAAAACCAAAACGATGACTTTTATTAAAGAAGCTGCTCAATACAATAGGGAATTGAAGATAACCAACATCCGGGACCAGTTTGAGAACACATAGCTCGAGCCAAGGCATGAGCCAAATTGTTCACTGATCTAGGTACATAATTAAAGGACACTACTTCAAAGTGTCGTTTTAAGATAAGGCACTCTCGCATAATACAATTGTTAGTCATTTAAGACCCAATCTTCACGATTGATTAGAGTAAATGTGCTCCCCAACTTTCAATGAAGATAACAACCTTCAAGTTCTTACATGGTCTAAAACAAAAAACTATCATTTCAAATGGAATGGTCTCGTAGCTCAGTTGGTTAGAGCGTTGGTCTTATGAGCTAAAGGTCGTGGGTTCGAGCCTTATCGGGATCATATTCACTTATGCTAAAAAATGAACTTAGTGTTCGGTTGGTATCTATGGAGTGTGGTATACTAATTCTATAGTTTGGTTAGATTTGGAATTGTAAGGAATAACGAGTATAAAAACCTATATGCACCTACAAATTAATAAAAGTAAACAAGGGTAAAGAATTCATTTTCTATGGAAAATGAATTCCATGAACCAAACACAAGAATGATTTTTTTTATTAAAGAAGATGCTCAATACAATAGGGAATTTACAAATACAAATTGCATATATATTTTAAAGCATATATTCCGCATCGATAAGATCTCATAGTGCAAATATACAATTAGTGGCAATTTTTTTAAAATCCAAAACGATGACTTTTATTAACCAAGATGCTCAATACAATAGGGAATTGAAGATAACCAACATCCGGGACCAGTTTGAGAACGCATAGCTCGAGCCAAGGCATGAGCCAAATTGTTCACTGATCTAGGTACATAATTAAAGGACACCACTTCATAGTGTCGTTTTAATATAAGGCACTCTCGCATAATACAACTGTTAGTCTTTTAAGACCCAATCTTCACGATTGATTAGAGTAAATGTGCTCCCCAACTTTCCATGAAGATAACAACCTTCAAGTTCTTACATGGTCTAAAACAAAAAACCATAATTTCAAATGGAATGGTCCCGAAGCTTAGTTGGTTAGAGCGTTGGTTTTATGAGCCGAAGGTCGCGGGTTCGAGCTTTGTCGGGACCATATTCACTTATGCTAAAAAATGAGCATAGTGCTCGTTTGGTATCTATGGAGTATGGTATACTAATTCTATTGTTTGGTTAGATTTGGAATTGTAAGGAATAACGAGTATAAAGACCTATATGCCCCTACAAATTAATAAAAGTAAACATGGGTAAAGAATTCATTTTCCATGGAAAATGAATTCCATGAACCAAACACAAGAACGATTTTTTTTATTAAAGAAGATGCTCAATACAATAGGGAATTTACAAATACAAATTGCATATATATTTTAAAGCATATATTCCACATCGATAAGATCTCATAGTGCAAATATACAATTAGTGGAAATTTTTTTAAAATCCAAAACGATGACTTTTATTAACCAAGATGCTCAATACAATAGGGAATTGAAGATAACCAACATTCGGGACCAGTTTGAGAACGCATAGCTCGAGTAAATGTGCTCCCTATCTTTCTATGAAGATAACAACCTTCAAGTTCTTACATGATCTAAAACAAAAAACCATCATTTTAAATGGAATGGTCTCGTAGCTCAATTGGTTAGAGCGTTGGTCTTATGAGTTATAGGTTGTGAGTTCGAGCCACGTTGGGACCATATTCACCTATGCTAGAAAATGAAATTAGGGCTTGTGTGGAGAACAATTACTATGGGAATACGAATTCTATTGTTTGGTTAGATTTGGAATTGTAATGAATAACGAGTATAAAGACATATATGTCCCTATAAATTAATAAAAGTAATCAAGGGTAAAATAGGCATTCCATCTCACTTTTTTTTCTCATCTTCCATGGAGAACAAAATCCTTGGTCCACCCAAGGATTTTGTTTTCCTCAAATTTGAGGAATTCATTTTCCAATGGAAAATGAATTCCATGAACCAAACACAAAAAAACAACATTTTCATCCACATTAAGGAAAATGTTTTCCATGAACCAAACATCCCCTTATAGTGTGATGGTTACAATCTTTTTTATTAAAGAAGATGCTCAATACAATAGGGAATTTGCAAAAACAAATTGCATATATATTTTAAAGCATATATTCCACATCAATACGATCTCATAGTGCAAATATACAATTAGTGGCAATTTTTTTGAAAACCAAAACGATGACTTTTATTAAAGAAGATGCTTAATACAATGGGGAATCGAACACAACCAACATCCGGGACCAGTTTGAGAACGCATAGCTCGAGCCAAGGCATGAGCCAAATTGTTCACTGATCTACGTACATAATTAAAGGACACAACTTCAAAGTGTCGTTTTAAGATAAAGCACTCTCGCATAATACAACTGTTAGTCTTTTAAGACCCCATCTTCACGATTGATTAGCGTAAATGTGCTCCTCATCTTCCCATGAAGATAACAACCTTCAACTTCATACATGGTCTAAAACAAAAAACCATCATTTCAAATGGAATGGTCCCGTAGCTCAGTTGGTTAGAGCGTTGGTCTTATGAGCCGAAGGTCGTAAGTTCGAGCCCCGTCGGGACCATATTCACCTATACTAGAAAATGAACTTAGGGCTTGTGTGGAGAACAATTACTAGGGGAATACTAAAAATAGGCATTCCATCTCACTTTTTTGTCTCATCTTCCATGGAAAACAAAATCTTTGGTCCACCCAAGGATTTTGTAATTGGAAAATGAATTCCATGAACCAAACACAAGAAAACAACATTTTTATCCACTTTAAGGAAAATGTTTTCCATGAACCAAACATCCCCTTATAGTGTGATGGTTACGATCTTTTTTATTAAAGAAGATGCTCAATACAATAGGAAATTTGCAAATACAAATTGCATATATATTTTAAAGCATATATTCCACATCAATAAGATCTCATAGTGCAAATATACAATTAGTGGCAATTTTTTTGAAAACCAAAACGATGACTTTTATTAAAGAAGATGCTCAATACAATGGGGAATTGGAGATAACCAACATCCGGGACCAGTTTGAGAACGCATAGCTCGAGCCAAGGCATGAGCCAAATTGTTCACTGATCTAGGTACATAATTAAAGGACACTACTTCAAAGTGTCGTTTTAAGATAAGGCATTCTCGCATAATACAACTGTTAGTCATTTAAGACCCAATCTTCACGATTGATTAGAGTAAATGTGCTCCCCATCTTTCCATGAAGATAACAACCTTCAAGTTCTTACATGGTCTAAAACAAAAAACCATCATTTCAAATGGAATGGTCCCGTAGCTTAGTTGGTTAGAGCGTTGGTCTTATGAGCCGAAGGTCGCGAGTTTAAGCCCCGCCGGAACCATATTCATCTATGCTAAAAAATGAACTTAGTGCTCGTTTGGTATCTATTGAGTATCGTATACTAATTTTATTGTTTGGTTAGATTTGGAATTGTAAGGAATAACGAGTATAAAAACCTATATGCCCCTACAAATTAATAAAAGTAAACAAGGGTAAAACATTCATTTTCCATGGAAAATGAATTCCATGAACCAAACACAAGAAAACAACATTTTCATCCACTTTAAGGAAAATGTTTTCCATGAACCAAACATCCCCTTATAGTGTGATGGTTAGGATTTTTTTTTTACTAAAGAAGATGCTCAATACAATAGGGAATTTACAAATACAAATTGCATATATATTTTAAAGCATATATTCCACATCGATAAGATCTCATAGTGCAAATATACAATTAGTGGCAATTTTTTTGAAAACCAAAACGATGACTTTTATTAAAGAAGATGCTCAATACAATAGGGAATTGGAGATAATCAACATCCGGGAGCAGTTTGAAAACGCATAGCTCGAGAAAAGGCATGAGCCAAATTGTTCACTGATCCAGGTACATAATCAAAGGACACTACTTCAAAGTGTCGTTTTAAGATAAGGCACTCTCGCATAATACAACTGTTAGTCTTTTAAGACCCAATCTTCACGATTGATTAGAGTAAATGTGCTCCCTATTTTTCCATGAAGATAACAACCTTCAAGTTCTTACATGGTCTAAAACAAAAAACCATCATTTCAAAAGGAATGGTCCCGTAGCTCAGTTTGTTAGAGCGTTGGTCTTATGAGTCGAAGGTCGCGGGTTTGAGCCCTGCCGGGACCATAAGATAAATTTCATTGTTTGGTTGGTGGAAAAAGAATTACTGGGAAACAAATTCTATTGTTTGGTTAGATTTGGAATTGTAAGGAATAACGAGTATAAAGACCTATATGCCCCTACAAATTAATAAAAGTAAACAAGGGTAAAGAATTCATTTTCCAGAAAATGAATTCCATGAACCAAACACAAGAAAACAACATTTTCATCCACTTTAATGAAAATGTTTTCCATGAACCAAACATCCCCTTATAGTGTGATGGTTACGATTTTCTTTTTATTAAAGAAGATGCTCAATACAAAAGGGAATTTACAAATACAAATTGCATATATATTTTAAAGCATATATTCCACATCAATACGATCTCATAGTGCAAATATACAATTAGTGGCAATTTTTTTGAAAACCAAAACGATGACTTTTATTAAAGAAGCTGCTCAATACAATAGGGAATTGAAGATAACCAACATCCGGGACCAGTTTGAGAACACATAGCTCGAGCCAAGGCATGAGATAATGTGCTCCCCAACTTTGTTAGTCATTTAAGACCCAATCTTCACGATTGATTAGAGTAAATGTGCTCCCCAACTTTCCATGAAGATAACAACCTTCAAGTTCTTACATGGTCTAAAACAAAAAACTATCATTTCAAATGGAATGGTCCCGTAGCTCAGTTGGTTAGAGCGTTGGTCTTATGAGCTAAAGGTCGTGGGTTCGAGCCTTATCGGGATCATATTCACTTATGCTAAAAAATGAACTTAGTGTTCGGTTGGTATCTATGGAGTGTGGTATACTAATTCTATAGTTTGGTTAGATTTGGAATTGTAAGGAATAACGAGTATAAAAACCTATATGCACCTACAAATTAATAAAAGTAAACAAGGGTAAAGAATTCATTTTCTATGGAAAATGAATTCCATGAACCAAACACAAGAATGATTTTTTTTATTAAAGAAGATGCTCAATACAATAGGGAATTTACAAATACAAATTGCATATATATTTTAAAGCATATATTCCGCATCGATAAGATCTCATAGTGCAAATATACAATTAGTGGCAATTTTTTTAAAATCCAAAACGATGACTTTTATTAACCAAGATGCTCAATACAATAGGGAATTGAAGATAACCAACATCTGGGACCAGTTTGAGAACGCATAGCTCGAGCCAAGGCA